CCAGTGAAATATATTTATGTTTGTGGTTGTAATGTGACAAAATATGGAAAAGTTCAAGGGGTATGAATACTTTTGCAAACCACTGTAGGAGAAAAATATATTTATATTTTAAAGTAAACTCCTATGAGGTCCGAAAGGTTGAACAAAGGCCAGTTCTGAACTGTCAACACTAAGTAAGAAACTGTTTCACACCTAACAATAAAGGTGTGGATCATCATCACTAAACTAGGCCACAAAAGTTTCCTCTAACTTTATGTAAATTACACRTTTGACCTTCTTGTAGTGTATATTTTTATAAAAGCCACCTGGTGCTTACCTCAGCAGAACAAACAGGAATAAATGTAAACAGGAAGAAGCAGAAGGTGGGGTGGGGGGGGGTGTTTGTTGGTTTTCCCTTCACTGTCAGGAACTCGGCTGCTACAGCTGGAGCAGGTGCTTACTCAGCATACCAGTGCTCGTTCCTCTCAGCCTAGTGTCAGGAAACACAAGTGGGAGGGTTTATGCAAAATAAAATTTCCATAATTGTGTCTTCTGGCAAAATGTCCCCCCTTTTCTAGTTTTAATATTTTAAGCACCAAAAGAAGACCAGTACACTATGCTGCATAAAGTCTTTCCTTATCGTAAACTCAATTTTAACTTTCTAATCCAAACAAAACAAATGATTTAAGTTTACCTCAGGGTTAAGCTTCACAGATATGATTTGTGAAGCTGAGTTGAAAATATCCAGTTTACTATCTCTTCTTATGACTCGGACCATAAATTTGAGGCCTCCACCTGGTTCCCCAAAAAGCCTTGGCAGTCAGCCAGGTCCGGTCTCTCTCTCTGACCTCGCCAGTGAAAGATTTGACTGGCTAAGACTTTGAATCAACCTTTATCTGCCTCCAAACAGACACGTGTGCACACAGCAGTTGGCTGCCGCTCGTGGACAATAACACAATAAATCCTAACGCTACACATCCTCCAGCATCCAGCAGTTATTTATTTGGAGCAGAGTAAAAGCCATGTCCTGAACGTTTTTTTTTTCTTAACCAAGGGAACATGAAATCTACTTTTTCTATTTTARTATGGAAGCCAGGTCTGAATAATTAGGAATGCATGTAAAGTTTTTTTTTCTTTATTAAGCCTACATGGTTGTTTCCAGTGTGAGGTTTAATGGTTTAATGYTTAAACTTTTTGCACACCGAGGTGTTTTTATACTCTATAAAAAACACTAGCCAGGCGTATGAAACAAGAGCAAAGCAGCACTGACCTTTAGCTGAGTATTACCTCAGTATTGGCTGCTCATTAGATCACCAAAGCCATTATAGCACTAAAATACTGTTACACCGCTAGYMGGTAGTAGAAGTACCCTAGTAACATGGGGTTTTAMCTGCAGGCCGATGTGAAGRGACTTTGTGAGGAAGTCTGTCGGAAATGGATGCGATTGATGCACAAGAATTTAATACACTGAGCTGTGAGACTTGATTTATTATACAGACACCATGTTTCAGTAATTAGTAATATTGCAGACTAAAGGTGCATGCCCGTCACAGACAGGTGCTGTAAAGTCAGTACCGTGTCTGACCATTTGAGGTCAGTGTGGTACTGCAGCACTTACCAATGCAACTAGATTCAATTTAAAATCTGCAGTGCTCACCGCTTCTGTTTTTGTTTTATTCWGCCTAAAGCAACCGCAAAGGAAATGTACAGGGCTGCTTTTAAAACAATRTGAAGTTTTAGTGTATGAAGCAAAGGTTAAGGGTTCAAATCAAGAAATGTATTCATGACACCTCCCTTATTGAAATGTATTCATCAGATTCTTCCTCTTGGATCAATAAAGGAGTGGGGTGATAAATTGAACGAGGTTCTTTGAGTGCTAGATTCTGCTCCTTTTCTGCAGTTTCTCAGTTGCTGCATTCTTGATTGATTAAAACTATTGATTCGGCCTCCCGGAGCTGCAGAACTTCAATCAGACTCTATCTGCCACAACCAGATACTCAGACAATGGGAACCTACCGGCCAAATGTAGCGAGGCTGGGTGTTGGTGGTCGCGTGACGGCCAGCACAAAATCGTGAGTGAAAGCGATGGAGTCGGAACAAAAACCAAATCCAACCCATCCGTCTTTTGTCTACCTGGTTATGCAGGAGAGGAATCTCTAATCTCTGCTCACACTCAGCCTTCACAGTAATTACTCAACACTGTGGGTGCGTGCCCAACTTTTGTGCCGCTTTCAAGAAGCCTCTGCCTGTACTGCTTCTGTTATCAGCTCAGGCAGGCTCTCCTGTAGACTGGTGTCCAAAGTCCCCCTCGGACAGGAACTTAGCTTCATCATCAAGTTCATCCTCACCACAGATTAATTTAGAGAGGACTCAGGTCACTTTTTTGTCACATTTCAATAAAAAGAGGCAGCTTAGTAGATTGTTGCCAAAATACAACTGTAGTCAGAAAACTTTTAAGTTCATACTGTAAAGCCTTTATTTTTAAAATATCCCCTCGAGTTTTATTGCAAACCACATAAATATTAAAATCTTTATTTACTGAAAAAGAGAGGGAAAGGAAAGTATCTTTGGTATTTAAAAAGTCCAATTCTGTGGTCATGGTGGGATTCAATCAGAAAACCTTGGCAGCCAGTACTTATACTTGTGCTCTGTTTAATACAATGATAATGACAATAAATTTACTGTTTCAGTCTAATGTAACAACTTGTTTTATTAAACCCGTTACGTGGGTTTTTATTTAACTGGCTTGTCACATTCAAACAAGAGTTTTGTGGCCTAAACCAGCGATCWGGCAACAGACACGTTCTCTAGGACAGTGGTTTTCAAACTTTTTAGCTTCTAGACCACAAAATACCTTGTGACCCCAGATATCGCTGGTTACGTATGCATACATCACTAACAACTCTGTTAAACATGGGCTTTATAAACAAACCTAAACTCTGATACTTTTATTCATTTATGATTATTTATTTCTTTATTTGCAGTATGGTGAAAATATTCCATTAGTAGTTTATTTGCTTTCAAATTGATGTCTGGAAATCATCTTTGGACTCTTATTTGATGTTTCRTGACCCATAAAGGAGTCCYGACCCTGACTTTGGCAACCGCTGCTCTCAAAAATGTATCTTATGACTCTGATGGCGTTGCAAAACTCTGCAAATATCAGTAAATATTCTTAATCTTACAAACCCTCAGTTAAATTTAGATTTATTAACAGAAGGTTACGTATAAAACTAGGACAGACTCRGTGCATCTGCAGTTTTTACCTGGCTGTTTTGTTTTGCAGTGCATGTTTTTGTTCTTTTCACAAAGAAATTTCAATTTAGTGGCAATTTTTTTTTAATAGCAACTTTTTATGCAATTTAAATTGGTTGTCCAAGGAGGCATACATGTGTTAAAAATGCAAGCTATAATACCTTTCCTTATACCCATAAAAAAAATCATTGCACATGACTGATGTGAACTGTTGATTCTGTCGTTTGTAGCTCAGCTTCCTTCATATCAGTAAACACACATCAGCTGTTTGACAATTAGCAGAAAATGTTCAAATCAATACAAATTTTTGTGACTTTGCTTCTCGTCTGTCTCCTCCTTTTGCCGTGCGAGAAGCAACAAACACCTTTTTTGTTTTTTGTTTTTTTTTTTGTCCAGCCGTGATTCACGGCAGGCAGGGAGTCGTGACTTTTTTGTTTTGTTTTGTTGTAATCAGGGTGACAGGGGAGCTTATTAATTCTGACTGGACGAACGAGAACTATATGTGTTTGTTTGGGGGAGGAGGATGGAAAAGGGAGGTGCGCAGAGA